TTTTTTTTTCAGCTGAACAAATTTCCCGAGAACAGAACGGACAACGCCAACGCCTAATAAAAGGATTGAACTAGGAACTCTAATTTTTTCAGAATTTTTAAGCGTCGAGCAACACACCAAAGTATAAAAAAATGAAAACGGGCGCTGCGCTCATTGAGCGAGTGATCGAGAGTTAATAATGGTAAAAGGAGAGAATTCGAATTTGAATATAACTGGAATATATAAAAATAGAATTATTAGAGAAGAAAACGTAGAGTAAACTAGGGATCAATATAAATTGAACAAGCAAGAGCTTTTGAAGACGTGTGAACAAAATATAAACTAAAGAATATGGGATTTAATAGTTTCGTTGAGTCGCAGAAGCTGATAAACAAGAACTAAAATGAAGTCTAACACATTTTCAATAAATGTGCTTCCGAACAATTTTATGAGTCGATACTAGCGCAAAACCACGAATGTAAGTAAATATGAGTATAAGTATTATCGTCTTGAAGCGATTGGAAAAATTGAGAATAGTTTGATTGCAGAACAGAACTCACTGTGATTTGTAATCTGTAAAATCGGATGTGCTTGTGCTAGAGATGATCACCTTCCTGTTGAAATAACGACGTTAGCACCACCCTGACTCTATTTTATCTAGTCATCCCTACTCCCGTCATAATTTCATGCTCCTCCCTACTTAGAGTTTTGTGGGACTGTCGACATTATAACAACAATAGAATCCACTTGATTGGATATAGCTATTGATCCTGCTTTTACTGATTTTTCATTTCATAAAATAGTATATTTCGTCATTAGGCCGAAAAAAACTCTTCTGGCGAATATGAGGTTTGCAGCACGAGCCGAAGGCGAGGGCTGCAATCATATTTGTCAGAAAATTATTTTTTGGCCGTATGACGAACAATATTTTTTGTCATGACGGTCGTAGGCAGAGATTCACGGACGCGGAACGGATTTGACATACGGCCTGAAAAACTTTTTTAGCTCATATGATTGCAAATTTTTTTTTAGCCAAATGACGAAACATCATATTTTTTTCCCTGACTTGTATTTTTCATTTTTTATTTTTTCAAATTTTCTATGAAAATTCTATTTTTCAAAAAAAAAATTAATTTGAGGAGGAACCAACAGAAAATGTTCCTTGACACGGGTTTTTTTTATAAACACATTTGTGTTTTTTAGGAAGACTTGAATAATTTTTGCAAAACGATAAAATAATTAGTTTCAGATTCTTCGAGCTTTGATTGTTAGAATCAAATTTTATCTATTGTTCGTTTTTCCTTCCGAAGGGAAGCGTTATAATCGTTAATTGTGACGATCTAATTTTGTCCGCTTATTCTCGAGTCGTTACTTCTTCTTATTTTTGTTTTTCTTGTTAATTCTTGTAGTAACGAAATCATTTAGGTCATTGTTGATTATCAAGGGAATCGGAATGTTATTATCTTCACCAACCATTAGTATGACATTAAAAAATAGTTTGTACACCATTATAGATTACAGGAAGAATGAAAATTTGTTTGTTTCGTTAGCCACTAATGTGGTGGTAATATTATTGATGGAGCCTCATCAAAATTTCTATTCAACTGTTTCATTTCTTACGAATCGACTATTCAGCCAGAGTATTATTTTTGGAGTGTCGTTTTCCTGCCGATCTCTGATAAGACTTAAACAATCAAGGCAGTCCATTAGGCCTTGACATTCAAAATAATCTCCACCAAGACAAATAATTCTTGGAAATATTTGTTATTTGTTATTTGTAGAGCAAAAAAGTAGAGGAAAAAAGCCCTGAATCCGTGATCACGTTCATTTTTTAAGGATTTCTTAACAATTCAAAAATTTTGAATCCAATTGCTCTCTATTCCTAAGGAATTGTACGATCTTTCTAGACCCTAGGGGAGGTCCAGAAGTTGATTCTGATATTTTTCGGATTTTTCTCGGCTCCTATAGGCCTATTGATAAATGTAAATTACGTTTTGATAAATATAAAATACGCTTCGTTTCGGCGTAATTTACGTTTTTGTTTTGACAGTAAAAAACGCTTTTTTTAAGCCTAAATTGCGATTTTCATGACGGAAAAATATCACCAGCCAATAATATTAGATTTTGACAATATTAAGAAGGATTATCTCCTGATATTATTCAAAGTTTAACTATATTCGATTGAAAATATTATAAAATTTAAAAACTAAGTTTTCGGATTTTTTTTTTATATTCCGGCCCTTTCTGCCCTCTGATTGGCTAATCGGCCCTATCCAACCCTATGCATGCGGCTGTGGATCCCACACTGCACCGCATTCGCACTCCCACAGAACATAGGAGTAGCATAGGAAACCACAGGAAACCCATGCCAGTACAGGCGGTCACTATATTAGCGACCTCCCGCTCGCCGGAGTCTCCGGTTGAAAAACTCGGTTCCACGGGGAATCAAACTCACAACCTTTCGCACACTAGGCTCGCACCTAGCCGCTTCGGCCACCGACGTCGGTGATTTTTTGGATTGATGGTGAATAAAATATTTGATAATATTGTAATGTAATATTGCAATATAATTTTTAGTTAATAGGCTAATTCTAAATTTAGGTACTTGATTTTCGATTATCCAAATAATCGTCAGTCTTCCTACCTAAATTATTGGTTAATAGATTATTTCAAAAAAAGAATGTAGAAGTTGATGGTGAATTTAATATTTAAAATTTTAAGATTTATGTTAAAAATTGAAAACTTCACAATTTAACGGTAATTATGATTGATGAATATGACTATCACTGTCGGTCGCGCGGTCAGCGCAGAGCCGCTGATTTGAACCGATCGCGCTGTTGCCACCTTGGCGTTTACCGCTATGCGCGCATTTCAAGTGTGGCAATGAATGTCGCAACACTGGCGCTCAAGGTGTCGACAGGGACTCACTCGCACCGGGCAGCGATTCCGTTCGACGTTTCTTTTCTTTTTTTAGCTAAACAAATTCCCCGAGAATAGAACGGACAACGCCAATGCTTAATAAAAGGATTGAACTAGGAACTCTAATTTTTTCAGAATTTTTAAGCGTCGAGGAACACGCTAAAATATAAAAAAACGAAAACAGGCGGTGCCGCGCTCTTCGCGCGAGCGATCGGAGGTTAAGCGTAAATTACTTTTATCAAAACGTAATTTACGTTTAGGTTTTCCTATGTTGTTTCGCATAAAACAAAGATTTCTCGGAGGCAGAATGCGTTTGGCTAGCCCTGAGATTCCTTACTGTCACAGCAAATAACATTTTCGAATAACTAAATCTATTCTAACGCCACAAGTTTCTCATCTCAGGACCCTTCGAATGTTCGGAATGAGAATTCTAAAATTCTCATTCGAATTTTAAATTGTCCTTTTAAAATTTTTACTCCTCGTAATTTTCAATTCATAATTTCTTTTGTTTACAACACTGGTTTCCTCTCAGTGCACACCCGAATTAATCCGAAATGACGATCACCCCTGCCTACTTTCATACTCCAGCAATAACTCACTCCATGCTCACCCAAAACTACTACAAATTTCATCTCCAATAGCAAAAAATCAAAATGTGCAACAGAGAGATCTGTCTAAACTCAACACTCGACTCTGCAAATTCCTCCGAAGACATTTACGACTCCAATCACGACTTTCTATCGCATCTGGGCCATTGCAAATGCAAAGTCGTCGGACTGGTGCGTCAGCAGATGCAGAGGGTCTCGCAAGAACGTAAAGTACTTTTAAAAAATTACAAATCCTAAAGAAAACCCCTTTCAATGCGTTGATCTTTTCAAATTGAATGTCTAGTCAAATGTAAAGTACAAGTATCCTGACCACGAGTCCGAGACGCATTATCCACCCCCTGAAGACATAAAAAATGCCTCAACAGAAAAAGGTGTTCAAACTCACAGAGCAATGAAGCATAAAGCGAGGGACAATGAGACTTCAACTTCTCCGACATTAAATACGTCGATTTTCCCGAATTTTTTACGCCAGAGACCTAAACTTCCTCAATTGGACCATTTTTACGAGTATAAAAACGTCATAGTGGCCTCTCTGGTGATGCTAGGGGTCGTCTGGATGGCTCTGGTCCTCGGGGCTCTTCTTGGGGCCTCGGTCTGCGGAGATAAACGCACGTGTCTCCCGGTTTTTCAACTGGGATCGACAATTCGGTCCAAACATTCTTTATTTTAGTCTCGTTCAGGGATTAATTTATAACTTAATTACCAAATTCAACTATTGAGAGACCTCGGAGGTAAAAAAAAAACAGGAATGCGAGAAAAACTTTGGGGAATGAATTCTCAGCCAAAAGAGGACGAAAAAATCTGAAAGATGGTTTAAAAAATTTGTTCCTTTTGTAGGAACTGGAGGAAACGAGTTAAAGGTGATATGAAGGGGATAAATCATTTTTAGAGGTGATTGAAAATTCGAGGTGGTTGCGCCGCCATCTTCAAAGTCCGTTGTGGAGTATCCAAGCAAAATGGCGGCACCCACAGCTGGCAACCACTTCGTATTTTTGAACATTCCTTAGAATTATGTATAACCTTCAAATCACTTTCGACTCGTTCCATCCAGTTCCTAGGAAATGAACAAAAAAAATGAAAATTTTTCAAACTATTCATCAGGATTTTTCGTTCTGCTTTGACGAAGAATTCATGACGTCAAATTTTTCCCTCATGTCAATTGTTTTTTCTCAACTCTTATGACTCTTTAATCAACAAGATAATTGCATAATTATCTTTGTAATGAATAGCAAAATTGAGAGAATCGTCTCGTGACATTTCTAAAATCGAGAATTGAAGCATAATTACCAAAAATAAATTTCAAATGAAACCATTCGTGATTTATTAATTCATCCCTTCGGCCAATATTTCTATTGTTCAATTGAATTATGGAAAAATAATGGGAGTGCATTTAAATAATCGAAGGGACTGTCTTCGCTTAATAGTATTAAATGATGATAATGATAATGAAGGATTATTGTATGGATTTTTATAAAATATGTATCAACAAAGATCTTCGTTTTCATCTCTTTATTGAAAAAAAGGGCATTCACTCATTGGTCACCAAAAACACCAATTTCGCCCTCAGCCCATGACAATTTAATTCCTCACGTAATCGTGTCGTTTTTCCAGTTAAAAAACAATGTAGACAGTCCACGTATGAATGAGTGATAATCTCCGTGTCGATTATGTCAGCTATACTGATATGTCTCGTTTATGCGTTGATGCGATTTCGATGGTTCATTTATTTATCAAATAATCTTTTTTATTAGAATACAAATACTTTATACGCAGCTCTCTGGACCGGGTATTGAATTGGCGATTATTATTTCTTTCATCAAGTTGCGATCTGCCTTGAAGCTTATGGGTTCCCATGATTTCGTAGAAAATGGATTCAACTGGAAGAACAATTGAGGGGAATTAATTGGGTGAAATTCATTTGTGGAAAATATTCAGACCCCCTAACCCTTATTTTGATCCCCATGACCCTTGTGACCCTTATTTTGACCCTTGTGACCCTTAAACTGACCCTCATTATAACCCTCGTGGCCCTTATTCTGACCGTCCTTAAAACCCTCGTGACCCTTATTTTGACCCTTAGTTTCTGACCCTTAATTTTGGAGTCTTAATTTCGAGTACTAAATTTTCATCACCAGAAATTGATTTGGGTTTTTATAAGATACCTTCATTTCTGACCTTTATTTTGACCCTTGTGACCCTTAACCTGACCCTTGTGACCCTTGACCTGACCTTTGTGACCCTTAATCTGACCCTCATTATAATCCTCGTGACCCTTATTCTGTTCCCCATTATAACCCTCGTAACCTTTATTTAACCCTTGTGACCCTTAGTTTCGGATCCTTCATATCTAACCCTTAATATTGGAGTCTTAATTTCGAGTACCACATTTTCATCACCAGAAGTCGATTTAGATTTTTATAGTATAGAGATGAAAAAATGATGCCTATAAAGAACTTGAACATTTCCTATAGGATTTTTCACAGGATTTTCTATACCCCCTTAAGGTAAGAGGGTTAAGGGTCAGGTTATAGGGTCTTCATTGTGCAAAATGAATTTTTATAATTTATATTTGTCAAAACAGTCGAGTTGTGCAAGAATATATAAAATACTATTTTATTTCAAACTAAGGCCCGAGTTGATAAACTAGCGCGCTTCGTCTGCTCCATTTGTCCCATTCCCCAATTCCCAAAGTATAAAATATTGAAGCATCACCACTTCACTCAAATAAAAAAATTTACTTACACTACACTTGTTTGTCTGAAGGCCTTGTTTATGTAGGTCGTATGGAGCAAATAACGTATCAGGCCTCACTGGTAAGAACAGTTGGGGTTCACGTTTCACCTTCTCTTGATCTAGAGAAAGAAAAAACACCGGAAGAACAATTTTAGTAGAATTCGATAGCTCAAATTTTCCAAGTTTTTTTGTCTGATTTTTTCAAGAGTTTTTCCTGTATTTTCGTCCATTTTTTTACTCCCAAGATTTGATAGAAAAAACTAACGAATTTTATAGCCAATAAATAAAACAAAAAATTGGTTTATTACAAATTGATTGAATTTCAATGGAATTTGATAGCTCAGAATTTCCAAGTTTTTCTGTTTGATTTTTTCCCAAGTTTTCCCCGCATTTCAGTCGTTTTTTTTTACTCCTAAGGTCCCACGTTCGAGAGATTTCGTAGAATGAATTGGCTATAAAATTCTATGAGAATTCTATGAGACTTTTTATTAGTTCATTAGAAATTCATTGAATTTCAATAGAATTCAATAGCTCAAATTTTCCAAGTTTTTTGTCTGATTTTTTAAATGAAAATGGAACAGAATTAGAACGGAAAAAACTTCGAATTAATGTCCAGAAATTCCTACAGAAAATGTCTCAATAAAAAAAGTTGTACAGAAAGATCAAATTTAAATGATTTTTTTCTATAACAAAATTATTACTGTCCATTCTCCATAAAAATCGCGCAGTAAAGCTACGCAATGTCTCGATAGAATCTTCCAAAAACTACTAGAATTTTCAAAATAAATCTAATAAAATTGTCTATTGAATTCGCTAGGTTTTGCAAAGAAATTAATCAGTCCATTAATTTTGTTTTTCAGTAGTAATACCACTAGTGCTTTAAAATTATCGGATATTTTCCGATAGCTTCGTTGCCTAGGAACGATTGTGTCAAATTTTGCAGAAAAATCCCTCGTGCTTCGCACTTTTAACCCTAGTCTAATTTTTTAGAAATTTCCGAAATAAAACTGTTTGACAGCCTCAAGTACTGCGCTCTGATTGGCTGAAATCCGAGTGAGAAAAATAATCAATGAAAATAAATTACCTTGAGGTGATTGAATGATATCCGGCTGATTGAGCCCATAATCCCCCACCTGTTTCAACGTATACTCCACGAAATACGTGTGATCCCCATGCGTTACATCTAGCATGGAATTGTTTCTCGAGTCAGGTGGACTGATTATCGGCTGCTTCATGTAAGGCTCGACATGAACAGGAGACGTCGTACCCCGTCTCCTGTACATCATCAGCATGACAGACAGAACTGTTATCCCCAGCGCCATGAGTGATCCGATTAGCAGAAGCACCAGGGGAACGAAGCTCACTCCACTCTCTACAAGTTTACAAATTATAATTGACAGGATAATAATCATAGTCAATTGAGATGAATTTTTTGAACCGTTGTCTCAAGAATTATTGCATCAAATGACCAGAAAAATTCCCCCTGGAAAAGCCGGATAACCTTTCTGGAGATCCTTTCATCGTTTCAACTCCAGATACGTCATTAAAAAACAATTTCAACCCCTGAATTCGGTCGTCTGAAGTATTGATCGAAAGTGGATTCACACGGGGTTTCAGTCGGAAATTTCACTGGCTGCGGAATAGCATTAACATTTTTCCTTAAACCTAGTAGCTTTCGAGGTATTTACAGATGGCAAAAAAAATCTTAGCTTTTCATAAAAAAATTTGATAACCATTGGGGAGAGAGGGGTGAAATGAAACAGTCGAGAAACGAAGAATTTCCAACGTTCATATTCCAATCATCCCCAAGAGATATACCTGAACATGATTAATTACCCAAAAATAATTATCTCCCCACACGAGAAGAGATACATCATCCCCAACAATAATACCAAAACTCATCCAAAGCCCACTGAACACCTCCGAAACAAGTAGATTAATCGGAAAATGTCATAAAACCATTTTTGTGGAGAATTTTCTCTCTCACAAAAAATATCTTTTGCCATTTTTCCCGAAACCTATTAGTTTTATGGAAATTCCCAAAATAAACAAAATCAATGTCTCTTTAAAAAGAAGGTGAATAGAAAATTCAAATGCAAATTACTTCAGGAATATTTACGAGTAAAATAACTACACATTTGCAAATAAAATCAACTCCCTTGTCCTCCCACAGTAAATCGTGATGATCGTAATTATAATTATAATAATACATATAATAATTCCTCAGCTATCAAAAAAATTTCCGTCCTTCGTATCTCAACGACCCCTAAGAAATACCTGAAGATGATTAATTAACACATCAAAATATTTTATATCTCCAAAGCAAGTAGATTCATCAGAAAATGTCATAAAACCATTTTTTGGAGAATTTTGTCTCCCACAAAAAATATCTTTTACCATTTTTACCTAAACCTATTAGTTTTATAGAAATTCTGAAAATGAACGAAATCAATGTCTTCTTGAAGATGAATACAAGATTCAACTGCAAGATTTCCCTCGAAATAAAAATAAAATAGATCCAGGACGAAACCCAACTTGTATGATAACTCAAAATACATGTTTTGATCACAAGAGTTAGTAAAAAAAGATGAGAAAAATAGAAGACGACATAATTTTGAAAATTCAAGTTTTTCAATTCTTTTTTATTTATTTAATTTGGTATTATGAGCACCTAGGGATTGAGAAAAAAAATCAGCGAAAATCTTCTCATAGATGGTAGAAAATGGAAAATTTTGAGCCACCGCAAATTGAAATCGACTGAATAGACCCCGAGTTATTGAAAAAAGAACGAAAAAACACAGAAAAAATCATAAAAAATTGATGATAAAAAATCTGAAAAAAATTGAGAGCTAGTTTTTCTAGCCCCCCAACCGTAGAAAAAATCGAGATCAATTCCCAAAAGGTTGAGGGTCCGCCGTTGACTAATTCGGCATGGAATACCTCATACAATAATTCCTCGGTTATCAAAAAAATTTTCATCCTTCATATCTCAACGACCCCCAGGAAATCTACCTGAAGATGATTAATTACCGAAGAATAATTATCTCCCGGCACGAGGGGAGACACATCATCTCCGAAAATGATGCCACCAGTCATGAAAAACTCGTCCAACTTTCACAAACAATGATCCACCAGAGAAGCAAAGAGCCCCAAAAAATGAGGGATGGAGTGAGCCAAATGAGGAAGAGAAATGAGTATAATTTTTTGATTAATTACCAGTCTGTTTGCCCGAGTCCCTCAGCATAATATCCTCCAGCAATGATACCTCGCTTCTTCCCTTGGCATTAACAGCATAAGCGATCAGATAAAAGTGAGTTGCTGGTAGGAGATCAGCAATGGGTATGCGGAATAGGGGTGACTCGGGGAAAATACTCGTTGTATTAACACGAAGTATCCTGGTGCCTGCCTCCCAAGCCTCGAGGCGAAACTCCTGCTTAAGACCACCATCGTAACCAGGTACACACTCAATCTCGAGGATCTCGGAGCTCTGATTCAATGAGGCTTTTATCGTGCAGTTGTTCAGGGGACTTGGTTTAACTTTGAAAGATAATAAAATTGAAGTGTGAGAAGAATTATGAGGTCAATATTTATAGGCATTTTGGAGGAGAGATTTTATTATCATTTTTTAATTTTTTTTTTCATTTGAGATTGATGAAATTATTGGTGTTTTAATGAAAACAATTGTTTTATTTTTTTCGTTTAATTTTTAGGGGATTTCTATTGAAATGTTCATATTTTTTTTTATTTTAATTGAAATAGAAAAAATATTTTTTTAAAATTAAAAAAAAAAAAAAACCAATAATCAAAATTATTATTATTATTATTATTATTATTATTATTATTATTATTATTATAGTCAATAATTAAATATTTTTTAGAAAAAGTCAATAGAAATGGATTTTTTATAAAATTCATTGTATTGAGATATTTTCTATAGAATTTCCTTGGCTCGAGTTTTTTTCATTCTATTTTTCTTTTCTTCTCATAAAGAAATTCGAACAAAAAAACTTAGAAAATTCAAGCCGAGAAAATTCTGTAGAAAAATCCCATTCTATCGGCTTTTTCTATAGAATATTTTCTATTGAACATTTCAGAAATCCAATAGAATTTACTAGTGTCGAAGATATTTGATAAACACTCTAGACTGTATTTTATAATCATCTGTTTTGATCTAAAAAATCAGGGAAATTGATTTATTTTGCAAATATCTCTGAAATTATGAACCTCTTGAACTATAATCGTTCAATTCTAAAAGACAATAAAATTGAAGTATAAGAAGAATTATGAGGTCGATATTTATAGTCATTTTGGGAGAGAGTTTTTATTATTAGTTTTTTAAATATCTTTTTAATGGGACAGAAACGATGAAATTATTCTTGTATTGATGAATATAATTGTGTAAATTGTTTCATATAGTTTAGTTTATTAAAGTTCACTAGAGAAGTCAGAAAACATAACACTAGAAGCAAATGTGATCCATTTTGTGTGAAAATATCAATCTTTTTTATTTTTTTAAATATTTTTTTAAATAATAAAAATTGTCTTAAATTAGTTTGAATGTTTGAGATTGATGAAATATGGTTGTTTCGATGATAAAAATTATTTTTATTTCACTTGATGAATGATCTATTAATTATTTATTTATTTATGGAGAAAAAAATTATTTTTAATTGTTTTTGACGTTTAAAATCATTGAACAAAGGATTTATCAATTAAAAAGAGATCAATACCTGCGGGAATGACTTGATAAACACACGGAATCTTTTGTTTGCCAATGGTATTCCTGCCTGAACACGTGAGTGCCCCATAATCTCTCTCTGACATGGGGGTATAAATGAATTCACTCATAGTTCCATTATTTCCATCGAACTTGGCTGGCCCAAGCTCGAAGTTCTCACCGCTGTTGTTAAATTCCCAGACAAAGTCAACTTCGCTTGGATCAGCCTCCACTTCACACCTTATCTTCACTGATTCGTCTAACGACGCTCCAATTATCGTCACTTCTTTAGTTTTACAGACTGGGGCAACTGAAATTACAAGATTTCCTGTCAGACTCGATGTTCCTTTGTTCAATTAATTGTTATAATCATGCTCGTTGCAAAAAAACATACGACCGAGGAGAATGATATGACCCAATTTATCAGCTGTTAAATTTTCGTATTAGAATAGATGATTTGCTCATGTTTTAATTCCTTTGCTCGCTGAATATGATTTTAATCATAATTACAATTCAATTCCTATGGCATATCCTATAGCGTATCCTATAGGATTTTTTATGGGAAATCCTATGGAGCATTCAAACATTTTCGATAGGATTTCCTGTAGCTTATATGGAATTTCCTCAAGGAAATCTTATGGACAATTCAAACGTTTCGTATAGGATTCTCCAGATAGGATTTTCTATAGCATATCCTATAGGATTTCCTATAAGATTTTCTAGACAGGATTCCCTATATCCTAAGGGATTTTCTCAAAAAAATCCTATGAAGAATTCAAAATGTAATTGAATAAACTCATCTGAAAATTACTAATATTAGCAACGTTCCTAACGTCACTTCTTGATTGAATTTAATTATGATTTATTGAATTATGGGTCATCGGATATATATGTATATACCAAACTGGCAGCCCAGATGAGACGTTCGTCTCTCGATGTATGTCTCTTTTAATTATGCATTGACCCCGAGTGATTTTATAAAGGAGAACTTTTTAAGCATTTTTAATTTTATTTCTAATGACAACTCGTCTCGTCATATCCCTCTGGCGAGACTCAACTTCAGTAATTAAATATCCAACGACCCATGCCATTACCGAACACTCAATTGTGAATTTGTATAATTCTATCCATTTGAATTACTCGAATTTTTCAAATGGGGTGACAAGTGACTATATCATGTCGAAAGAAATGAATCCAATTTTGGAGTATCGAATTTCTTCAGATTTTATCGCCAACGAAAGTGCATTAATTAGTAATTACTGAATTAGTGACAACTGCTCGGCTTTTCCAATGGAAAAATTATTTTCCAACAATAAAAAAAATTAATAATTCAAGTTATTAATTTTTTTATTGTGATTAATTTGTAGAACAATACTAATAAATTAATTAATTTGTCATGCCATGGCATTAGCAGCCACTAAATATTGAAGTTTTAAAATAATTCTATCCTCTTAAACTGCTCGACTTTTCCAATGGAAAAAAAATTTTATCGACAAAAAACCTCTCAATATGTTACTCTCAAGCGAATCATTCTCAAGATAATTCAATCTCCAATGAGATATGACATGATCACTCCCTGATTAATTGATTTGTAGAATAGTGCAATCAATTTGCCTAGTCACTATCAACCACTAAATATTAAAGTTTTTAAATAATTCAATCTATTTAAATTGCGCGAATAATCTTTCAAATTGAGTGACAGGTGACTACATCATCTCGAACGAACTGAATTCCATTTTGACGTATCAATTTTCTTCGTATTTTATCGCAACTGCGAGCGAATTAATTAGTAACTCTTGAATTTTACTGTCAAGCGAATCATTCTCGAGATAATTCAATCTCCAATGAGATATGATATGATCGCTCCCCGAATAATTAATTTGTCGAGCAATAGACTCAATTTCAATTATTCAAGTTACAGCCAGCGAGAAAAATGAATTGAATTAAATGAAAATATTTATTTGAAATTTTTCTGTCCATTTCCATTATTCAAGTTGTTTTTAAAATAAACGCCCGCTCAAGTGGCTAAATCGCATCAACAGAAATAAAAGAAAATTAGTTGCAGTCAGAGTTTATTAATTACCAACCCCTGAATTACCAACCCCTGAACCGCTTTATTTCGGCTTTGAATATCGAATCCTATATCGGATTTCTCCAACCATAAATTCAATATCTAAAAAAAACTGTTTCTAATATTCACCTGTAAAGCCAGTTATCTCCAATATAATTTAATATTGACCGAGATACGGCACGCGCACTCCCTGAGTAATTAATTTACCGAGCAGTACAATTAATTTCAATTATTCAAGTAATTGTAAAAATTAAATACCCACTCGAATGACTAAATCGACTCAATAGAAATGAAATAAAATTAGTTGCATTCTATTTCAAAATATTTAACTGCAAACTAAGGGGCTCCGCTCGCCAACCCCTATATAACCCTCATAGGATCCACGTGTGACCCGAATGATCCTTATTCTGACCCTTGTGGCCCTTAATCTGACCCTCGTAACCCTCATTATACCACTTGTGATCCTTAATCTGATCTTTATTTGGACCCTTACTCTGACCCTTATGACCTTCAATCTGACCCTGATTTGGACCCTTATTCTGACCCTTGTGACCTTTAGTCTGACCCTTATTTGAACCCTGATTCTGACCCTTGGGACATTTAGTCTGATCCTTATTTGGACCTTTAATCTGACCCTTATTCTGGCCCTTGTGACCTCTAATCTGACCTTTATCTGACCCTTGTGATTTTTAGTCTGGCCCTTAATCTGACGCTGTGATCGTTACTCAGTTTTGTGACCCTTAATCTGACCCTCGTTACCCTCATTCGGGCCCTCATTATACCTCTCACGAGAAGGGTCACGAAAGGTCGTGACCCTTAATCTGTCCCATATGACCCTTAATCTGACCCTTGTGACCCTTATTTTCACCCTTATTCTTACCCTTATTCTAACCCTCATGAACCTTAATCTGACCCCTGCAACCCTTATTTTGACCCTTATGGCCCTTATTATGACCCTCGTGACCCTTATTTTAACCCTTGTGGCCCTTAATTATGGAGTCTTAATTTCAAGTGCCAAATTTGTATCACCAGAAGTCGATTTGGATTTTTATAATACAGAGACATAGCAGTTCATTAATTACTTCATCAATTAGACTATTAATTAGTGACCCTCGAATTCATAATAACTTGGAATATTAAATTCTGTGTTGAATCTCTCAGATAAAAAAATTGAACGTCTAGTAAAGGAAGTCTCTCCTTTATATCTTCCGCTGAAGCCACTGATTCCCAATGTTATTTAATATTCAACGAGATATTACATGCTCACTCCATAAATAATTAATTTGTCGATGTAAATTAATTACAAATTAATTATTTAGCGAGTGATATTACATGATCACTCCCTGAATAATTAATTTGTCGAACAACGCAACTTATTTCACCTATTCAATTAACTCTCGAAATCAAATTACCAGAGATGAAATAAAATTTCTAAATATTCTATTGCAAGCAGAAGTTCATTAATTAATGACCCCCGAATTGATAATTACTTACACTTTACTCGAAGTGGAACAACGGCAGAGCTCGTCTCACCCCTGTCATTACTAGCGAGACACGTATAATTGCCCCCATTATCACGATTTATTTTCTGCAGTACGAGATTTTGTGAGCTCATGACTATTCCTGCTTTTTGTATAAGAACATGACCCTGTTTTATAACAGAAATCGAGGTAATTCGGATTATCATTTAATCGAGGCGAGGATGTGGTAATAATTGAAAGACTTGGGTAATTGTCAGGTGACTGATGGTCCATGTGGGACACTAATAATCTCCGTTTTTTTCACTTACGTTGTGTCGCCATGTTATCCTGTGATGCTCGGGATTCGCACGTACTTTGCACTCGAAATAAACGTCGTCCTCTTCTTTGATATTTTGAGCATTCAGAGTGTTTCCTATTTCCAGTTCAACCTTTGGGGGGACTGAATAAACATCAATTTGATTATTTCTTTGAGGAAGATCGAGGCATTTTTTTTCATTTGGCGAATAGCGAGGTTGCGAGTAGGTTTAGAGGAAAATGTCAGAAAATACTTTTTGTAGAGAATTTTGTATGCTACAAAATAGGTCTTATGATTTTTTTTATAAACCTCTTATTTTCGGAGATATTTATGAAATAGGAGGGAATGATAATAGGCAAACTAGTAGGTTCAGGGCATATGTCGTCAGACACTTCTCAGAAAAAATTGAATGGCCTAAAAAACAAGGTTTACCGAGCGTACGAGTATCGAAGATATTTTCGGACTTCTAGTAGGTTCAAAGAAATGCCAGGAGAGTCTTGTTATAGAGAATTTTGTGGGGCACAAAATAGGTCTTTTAATTTTCTTCATAAACCTATTATTTTTGGCGATTTTAACGGAGTAGCAGGTATTAATAGGATGAAAAATGATAGCACGGAGGAACTTCGGAATATCTGAAGAACTAATAGGTTCAGGCCGTTAGAATAGTAAGAGATTTAGTAGGTTCAAAACATGTCGTCGGACACTTCTCAAAAAAAATTTAATGGACGAGAAAACAAGGTTTTCACGAGCCTACGAGTATCGAAAATATTTTGGGGCTTCTAGTAGGTTCAGAGAACTGTCAGGAGAATTTTTTTGTAAAAAATTTTGTCGGCTACAAAATAGGCTTTTTGATTCTTCTTCAAGAACCTATTATTTTCAGAGATTTTTACGAAATAGAAGATAACGGTATTAACAGAATGGCAAATCATTGCACTTAATAGTATTTCGCAAATAGTAGGAATACTAGTAGGTTCACCAGAAAAAGTTGTTGAATATGTTTTGCAAACAATGGAATGAGCTAAAATAAGATCCTCAGACTTTTCCAATGAGCCTACTGTAGATATTCACCAAAAAGAAGACGTATGGAAACATGTAAGAAACTAGTAGGTTCAGAAAGCCTCGGGACATTTTCAATAAAGAGATTTTATGGGCTAGAAAAAAAGGCGAATCAATTACTAAAGCAAAAGTTAATTCTGTCGTCTTAATCTGATCGCCAGATTAATTAATCAATGAAAATGGTAAAGTGCCAATTCTATCTCCAAAACGTCGCCTCTGAGTCAATAATATATTAGAAACTTCGCTGAACCGGCGTAGCTTTGAAAAATCGACGAAATCTCATAGTAATTTGATGGAACATAATGAAGAGTAATTGATTGATGGATTTCAACGGAAACCGTTATTTAATTCTGTTATCGGAGAATTTCCTTAATGGAGCAGAAATGTGTCGCATGAACGATAAAGCATCATATCAGATAATTAATGAATAAATAACATTTGTTATTATATTATTAATTTGTTATAATATTTGTTAATTACTCAGTGAACATATCCGAAGGGAAGAGGTCTCCGGAAATGACAAATAAAATTGATAATTTACTCACAGACAACATTCAAATGAAAAGTGTCCTCCATGTATGCATCAGTCAGAACTGGATTCTCTCCCCTGCACTTCACCTGTTTGCTATGATCCTCGGGCATTGGTGAAAATTTTAGTGTACTATAAACGACCGTAGCATTGCCACTCTCCTTAATACGTCCATTCGTGAATTCCGATTTGCCCTCGAACCATATTACTTTTGGACGTGGATGCGAGCCAGCAACTTCGCAAGTTAAATTGTATGTCTTCTCAGACTCCAGGATCGTTGGTTTGGAGAGTATCGTCACGCTCAGGGGTTTGACTATTAAATTGTCCAATAGTTGTGTAATTGATATAGTTATAAATAGGTAATAGTTATTGTTGTAGTGGTGTTGTTACTACTACTGCCTGCTAGTATTGGCCTATTAGCAGGTAATAGTTTTACTACTAATAGTAGTCAATAATAGTGTAATAATTACAAATAGATAATAATTATAGTTGTAATGGTATCGTTACAATTATCGCCTCCTAGTATAGATATTATTTCAGTAGGTAAATTATATCAATACGAGAGGGTGGAACTACTATTACTAGGTAATAGCAAAACTACTATTAGTAGATAATAGTAGAACCTGCCATTAGTAGGCAATAGTTTTATTACTACTAGTTGGCAATAATAGTTGAAATAGGTAATAGTTATAGTGATTATTGTATTCTTACAACTGCCTACTAGTATTGTTCTATTAGTAGGCAAATTCTATCAGTAGGTGAAGGCGGAACAACTATTACGAGGTAATAGTGAAATTATTGTCAGTAAATAATAGTTCAACTATCATTAGTAGGTCATTACAAATAGGTAATAGTTATTGTTGTAGTGGTGTTGTTACTACTACCGCCTGCTAGTATTGGCCCATTAGCAGGTAATAGTTTTACTACTACTAGTAGTCAATAATAGTGTAATAGTTACAAATAGATAATAATTATAGTTGTAATGGTATCGTTACAATTATCGCCTCCTAGTATAGATATTATTTCAGTAGGTAAATTATATCAATACGAGAGGGTAGAACTACTATTACTAGGTAATAGCAAAACTACTATTAGTAGATCATAGTAGAATCTAACATTAGTAGGCAATAATTATATTACTACTAGTTGGCAATAATAGTTGAAATAGGTAATAGTTATAGTGATGATTGTATTCTTACAACTACCTACTAGTATTGTTCTATTAGTAGGCAAATTCTATCAGTAGGTGAAGGTGGAACTACTGTTACGAGGTAATAGTGAAATTATTATCAGTAAATAATAGTTCAACTATCATTAGTAGGTCACAGTTTTATTACTAGTAGTAGGCACTACTAGTGTAATAGTTATAAATAGGTAATAGTTATAATTGTAATGGTACTGTTACAACTATAGCCTACTAGTATAAATATTATTTCAATAGGTAAATTATATCAGTACGTGAGGTCGAAACTACTATCACTAGGTAATAGTTTTATTGCAGCTAGTGGACCCTAATAATGTAACTACTAATGAGCTACCATGATTCCACTATTATCCACTAATAATAGTAACTACTATACTAACTGCTGTCCCTAAAATAAATAGTAATGTGACTAGGAGTACTATTTGCCTATTAATAATAGGAATCCCATCACTACTGTTTCCTACTACTAGTATGAATAGTAATAGTAGTAAGGGGACTCATAGTAGTACCCACTGGATTACCCACTAGATTTTAAACTAAACTTATAAGTGAAAAGGTTAATAATTAGTCGGACGTATTGACAAGGACAAGTTGACGACTGTTAAAATTCATAAAATAATTGATAAAAAAACATTAACTAAGCATTGTTCAAGTGACTCACGATAAACATTCAAGAGAACAGTTTTCTCCAGTGGCTCGACAAGCTCCGTATTGGTGGCTAGACACTTGTAAGTCGTGTTCAAGTGTTCCCTCCTTAATTGCTGCACCCTGTACTTGCTAACGATGTAGAACTGTTCATTCTTCTCGACTCTTCCCTCCACTTGTTTCCCATTTACGAACCACGTTATGAGTGGGGGTGGCTTGCCTGTGATGAAAAAAAAAACGGAAAAAAGGGGATAAAGAGGATAACGAGGAAAAAAGTTGAGAGTTATCTCAGCAGTTTTTGGGTGATGAGTGATAACAGAACTCACCTCCACGGACTTCACAAGATACTACGAACTCCTCGCCAACTTGATAAGGACCCACCACGCTGTCAATCTGCTGACCGGAGTTGTCGTACATTCGCAGTTGGCGGGGGGGATCTGGAACAATTGCGAGAGATTCAGGGGTTTGGTTATCTGTGGATTAACGGTTAGGGCCGATGGGAGAGGCGATTTGAATGGATTTTTTTCTCATGAGCCTTCCAAACTTCGCGACCCTCATGACCCACTTGACCCTCGTGACCCTTTAGAATCCTATGATCCCGAGCCGTCAGGCCCTTATCAAAGTTCTTTTTTCGTTTTGATAATTTTTCTACTAAAGGACCTCCCTTTGTTGAATAAGCTTATGACCCTCATGGCCCTTGCGATTCTGACCCTTGTGACCCTTACCAAACTTCTAACCTCCATTTGGTACAAATTTCTTCCCTTTAATTTCCTCCCTCCTCTTTTTTTCATATAAAAATCAGCGCCAAAATCCGTTGGTTAGAACCAAAACGACAGAAACGATTTCGCAAATATCTCCAAAACTCATGAGTTTAGAGAAAACTATCAAAAATCCTTTTGTCTAGGAAAGAAAATTCTCCACAAAAAATGTCTTATAACATTTTCTCTCAAAATCAATGCTTTTCGAGATGAATGAACAATTATAGAAACGGCAAATTCAACTCGTCACGTTTCTCCTTCCTTTAAAAAAAAAACGAATGAAATCGACATGAATAAAAAAACTCACGTATGACAGTCAAATTGACTTGAAAATTTCTCGTCGGTGATTTTTTAAAGTCCACTCGACATCTGTAGATCCCCTCGTCCTCCAGCTGTATTCCATCCAGAACAAGGGCCGCAGGCTTTTGAGTTGTTACAAAACGCGCCCGCGGTTTTACCACTTTGTCTGACCAATTTCGAGCTTCGTGGAAGGATCTCCCTCTGACGTCGATACTGAAACGAATGAATGTCATTCAGACCTTCAATCCCTCTGATCATGAAATTAAATTTAATTAAATTTAATCAATCAAATTGTTTGTGTGTAATTACTCTGAGGGAGGAACACAAATTTATTCAAATTGGGGAGGAAATTTTTAATGAAAAACGATTGAACGAAATTATTATTCCCCCTCGATATTAAAAAAAGCGATTTTTTTGCCCACTTGAAACTTCGTGGTCCATACATTAGGGAGGAAAATTTAGCTGCACCAGCTTATGGATCCGGAAATTTTCCTGGCTTGCTGATGAATCCACTTCCATTACCCATTTCCTAATTACTCCTCACCCTCCTGACATAATTTCCTTTCTTTCGAGCCTCGAATTATCTTGGAGTGAATAAGAGAAACAGATGGCAAGTAATTGACGGAGAGAGTGGGTTATTTATCTAGTTGATTACAGGTTCCCAAATAACATGTCTCGATACAATTTTTGTAAATTTCATCAGCTTGAACAAATGTTTATGGCCCAGTGCACCAAGTCTAGTTAAGAAAGTCCTCAGTTAAGGATATCCAACTGTCTTTTACAATTTCGTGCAGACCCCACTGCACATTCAACCATTTCAGTCATCAAATTTATTAATTAAAATCAATGAAAAAAATTTCTAAAAAGTTATGCCCAGGGCCCGGAACTTCATGTGATTACCATTGTTATCAACAATCATTCAATTGTTATTGACAATCGTAATCACAAGTTCCGGGCCCTAGTTATGACATTATGAGATTTTTTAGAAGCATTTCGTCACTGGAATAATGGATAACGAAAAAATCGAAAGCTTCGATTGTTCCGTTAAATATGGATTTAAAAACAAATGAAAGGATATTCTTAAAGATTGTAACATTTACAAAAATGAATGAACGTGTTTTTCATAGAAAATGGAAAGCATTTCTCGTTAAATATTGATTTTGCGTAAAAAACTAAAGACGCTCTCGTTAGAAATTTTACGAGCTACAAAAAAAAATCTCTGACAGTCGCCCCCATAGGCCTTCGTCCCTGCTAAAACTGGATATTTCACAAAGCTTCGATTACTTCGCTAAGTGCTGATTCTCCAAGAAAATATTTAAATAAATTTTGTTGAAAAATTCAGGGCAATTTCCAGCCAAAGTCCCTCGTACCCAATACAATCCCCCCAGAACGTGAAATTGGACTTATAAAATTTCACTGCTCTCCAGAATCCAATCAGCCCGAATCAACCGTAAAATTACCTGTAAATGGGTTTGACGGAATTATTACGAAACCACAGCACCATGTAGACCCCGTCGCCCCTCTTCTCGGGCTCGATATTGCACGGAAGTTGTGCCGATCCACCAAGAACAGCGTTGACCTCCGATGTGGGTACTAAAACACAAAAAAAAGTCGTGAAATACTGAGGGGAGAAACTCCGGCGAAAATTACTTCTCAACTTCAGTCGCAGTAATATGAAGCCTAAAACCGCGTGATATTCCCCAGTGACCTTGAGAAAAATCCCCTCACATTAGTGTCGCACCAACAGATTTAAAATTTAAATTACATCGCCGAATCCTCTCCCGAATGTTCCACGTAATTAATGAATAAAAGTCAAGAATAAGCGTGGGCTGAGTCATTACGGATAAACCATCAGATTGAGCGATCTTTTAATATTTAATTTAAGTCGACTTCATCGCTAGGAAAGAAATAAAATTCAAGTGGAGAACGCCTGTGGTGGTCAGACACGCATTTATTGTTTGAGTGGAACAGCTCATGATTGATCAGACAATGCCAATTTTATTTTTCGAGATATTTTTCATTTTTTATGAAAGAAATTGAAAAAAAAAACAGTCGGGGCCAGACGTATAGGTAGAGTAGGCCATAGTTACAGTCCTACTATTAGCAGCCCATAGTAGTACTACTATGAATGGGTAATAGTGGTCCCACTATCAGGAGGTAATAGTAGTCCCACTATCAGTAAGTAATAGTAGCCTCACTATCAGTAGGTAATAGTAATCCTACTATTAATAGACAATAGTATTGCTACTATTAGTTGGTAATAATAGCCCCACTATTAGTTGATAATAATAGCCCTACATTAGCATGCAATAGTGGGTTAACTATTAATAGGCAACAATAAGTCTAATTTTAGTAGGTAATAGTAGGACCACAATTGGTAGGCAATAGTGGGACTACAATTCGTCGACGATAGTAGGGCTACTAGTAGTCAGCGATAGCAGCCGTACTAGTAGTAGTCAATAGTAATACTACTGTTAGTAGGCAATAGTAATACCACTGTTGGGTTGCAATAGTATTAAAACTATTGGCCGAAAATAGTAATCCTACTATTAATAGGCAATAGTAATACTACTATCGCCAAGTGATCGTAGTTTTACTATCAGTAGGCGATAATCGCCCTATTATTAGTAGGCTATAGTAGTTCTACTATGGCTACTATTGTTGTTACTCCCTCCGGAAATAAATAGTAGCCACAGTGAAAAAATCAATCATGTTCAGGCGGCAAAGTACCAAAAATCATGGTAGGCTTTCCCGAAAATTCAATACAAAAATCAATAATGATTTTGAGTCAATTCCCCGAGTGGAAGCGATAATTCTTGATCAGACCGTCATCTTCAAGTAGAGAAAGCAGCAGTAGAAAGTGCCAATCAGGGTCAGACGGTCAATTGCAAATATGGTACAGCTAATTAGGATTTTTTTCAATAACTGGGGAATATTATAAACATTATCTGTTAACAACATGGGAACAATGATAATAATAAACTTTTTCCTAAGGATAAACCTTAAATCGTAAATAGTTGATGGAAATAATCGCGAAATGTTGAATTATCTCAGTAGAACAACTCGAATCATGATCAGAAAAACGATTGGAATTTTCTCGTTCCAAAAATTTTCTGTTTATCGAACAGTTTTTTTATTATAATAGTCGGCAGCAGGTACAGCCACTTTCGATCAGAAATCGCTTGTTCTGCTAATAATGAGCAGTGGATAATCCCCTTAGTGATCGGCCTCGTTAGCCTCAACCGAAAAAACACGATGAATCACATTCAATTTGTTTTAAAAAAAATGACAACATAAATAAACAATGAACAAAGAGTTGAATATCGCAGAAACTATACTATAACATTTTACAAAAAATTCACCGGATTCGGAATTTATCAATCGACTACGGATTTATTTTTAAGAACATCGTAAGAACTGTTTTCTCATAAAATGGAAAAATCGAGTTCAGGGGACCCATAACCCCAGTTTAGCCTATGCCTCGCGTGCTGGAAGCCCTCACTTCATTATTCATTATCTCCTAAACTGTATAGGACAACTAGTTAGGATTTTTTTCAATAGCTGGGGAATATTATAAACATTATCTGTTAACAACATGGGAACAATGATAATAATAAACTTTTTCCTAAGGATAAACCTTAAATCGTAAATAATTGATGGAAATCATCGCGAAATGTTGAATTATCTCAGTAGAACAACTTGAATCATGATCAGGCAAGCGATTGGAATTTTCTCGTTTCAAAAATTTTCTGTTCAACGAACGGTTTTTTTATTATAATAGTCGGCAGCAGGTACAGCCACTTTTGATCAACATCAAATTCTAAATAATTAATGCAAATAATCCCGAAATGTTGAATTATCGCAGTAGAGTAACGCGAATCAAGATCAGAAAAATGATCGGAATTCTTTCAGTTTCAAAAATTTTCTGTTCAATGAACCTTTTTTTTATTATAATAGTCATCATTTATGTACACTGTTAAAAAATTTTGTCTAATATCTTCGGTGCACTGTTAGGAAATTACTCTTTAAACTTCAAGTAAAAAATCTTTAATTTTTAACAACGAATAATTTATGTGAAATTTCCATTGATCTTGTTATTCGTAAATCAATCAATTTGCTTGAATATTCAATGAAATTTGATTTCTCAGGTTCATACGACAATGAAAATTACTGAAGATCGTGAAAATTCAAGAAAATTTTCTTCTGAATTTTCAAGCTGTTGAAAATTCAATTGAATGTGTTGCTTAACCCTAGACGGGTCACCATGCGAGGGAATTGCCGCAACACGTCGTTTTATTCACCTTGCCATCGACTAGTTGAGCGGAAAAATTTGAAAAAAATTGAATCCGTCAATTGAAGTATCTGGAAAATTCTAGTATTTTTTTTTCAATATTGTATCCTTAACTNGGGAATTGCCGCAACACGTCGTTTTATTCACCTTGCCATCGACTAGTTGAGCGGAAAAATTTGAAAAAAATTGAATCCGTCAATTGAAGTATCTGGAAAATTCTAGTATTTTTTTTTTCAATATTGTATCCTTAACTCTGGGAGAAAAAAATTATTTCCAACAGGTGAACAATTTTTTCCCGTGTTAAATGAAATTGCCTGTTGCGCGACGTTGCTGGGAACTCGCTAAACGCGCCCGGGAAGTGTAGAGTGGATTCGGCAACGCTGGAGCCTAAATAACACGGGGGCATTCTCCCGCGAAGGTGACTAAAGTCGCATTTTCCCGTCAGGTGACCAGACCAGGGTTAATTGTCACGATAGGTTTGAAATCCAAATTGTCCTTGAAAATTCAGTGATCATTCATCATGAAAGACTTAATTGTATTGAATTTCCAAGATGAATCAGGAGTTCCATGAGCAACTTAGTTTGAAATTGGATTCAAATTCAGAATATTGGAAATTCAACTGCATCTGTTAGTTAAATTTCAAAAAATTTCTAACAGTGTATACTTTATGAAAATTTTTATCGAATTGAATTATAATTAACACTGAAATTTCGACGAATTTCGTAATTGAAAGATCAGAATTTCGTGAAGAAACTAAAGAGAACTGTGAATTTCAGTTCCATTTTTTCCTGAAAATAAATAGAAAACCAAAAAATTCTGGTAAATATAATCTGAAATTTTCAGGACAGTGACACTGACTGCGATTTAGGGGGAAAAAATTATGAAATTTCAGATTTCACTGAAAATTCTATGCAATTTGACATTGAATATTCACATTAAATTGGAAATTCAAAGAAAAAACGATTAAAAACCGATGGTTTTTTTCAAATTATTTTTTGACAAAATTATTTGAAAAAAAAAGATTGAAAACCGATCGTTTTTTTCTTCAAATTATTATTTGCAAAATTATGTTTTAAAATACGATTAAAAACCGATTGTTTTTTAAGCAGTATAAAGACGAGAATTCCTCAATTGATTTGAAACAAAAAGATTAAAAACCAATCGTTTTTTTCTTCGAATTTTTATTTGAAAAATTATTCGAAAAAAAAAGATTAAAAACCGATCGTTTTCTTCTTCAAATTATTATTTGCAAAATTATGTTTTAAAAAACGATTAAAAACCGATTGTTTTTTTTTCTAATGAATAGAGGAATTCTCGTCTTTATTTGAAAAAAAAACAATGCTTCCCTTCGGAAGCAAAAACGATCGGTTTTTAATCGTTTTTTTTTCAAATAAAATCAGGAATTGTCGTCTTTATGCCGCTTAAAATTCTGGAACTTTACTAAATTTTCAGCCAACCCTGAAATTTCATGATTTTTTCCCCCTAAATCACATCAGTATCACTGTTCTGAAAATTATTACTCAACTGTCCGTGAAATTTCATTTTTTCCACCAGTGTACAGTCACTTTCGATCAGCGGATAATCCCCCTAATGATCAGCCTCGTTAACCTCAACCAAAAAAGCACGATAAACAACATTCAATCTGTTAAAAAAAAACATAAACAAACAATACTCACTAGGATCCTCATCCTTGTCCCAATTATCATCAGCATGGACGCACAGCAATATAACAAGGACATAAAGTCCCCATAATATTATTCTCACTGCTCCGAGTGCAAATGTCCTATCATCAACTGCCATTCCAGTATCAAAGTAAGATGATAATTGCAGTTGAGTCACCGAAGAGACGAAAAAAGTCGGGAAAATAATGTGGGGAAAAAAAAATATCGAAGAAATAACTTCCCAGTCCTTATCCTTTATTAAATCATCAAAGCGTCTCCATCGGGGGAGTTCACCTCCTTTATTGTCATTCCAAGGGCCTCGGGGTCATCGTCCCGAGATGAAAAAAAAGTGTCAGAGACGAAATGGCGGTTTTTTCCTGTCCCTCGCACCCACCCTCCACCCGCTGATAAGCAAAAACTCGCTTTTTTTGTTATCTCTCCTCGGAATTTATTGTATCGTTGATGTGGACCACATCCTGCCGAGGCGACGGCTATTCAGATGGCATCTCAATGGTGGATCCATTCCCCTCCTTCACGCAACCCACTCGAACCGCAATTTATTTATTTTCATTCACCCGCAGGCCTCTTGTTTATTCCTAAATTATTCAAAGGGCCAGTTACTCGGTGTCTATACCCCTTCTTTTGGGGCCACTGTTCACATTCCTCACGTTCGTGACCCCAATCATAATACACATGTCAAGTGAGTCAAGTTTTTCCCGACCGAGCTGAACATCAACCTTCAACATCAATTAATTTCACAATAAAAAACAAGTCGCGGCAATTTTCTCCTCAAAACCTCAAACTTTTCACTTGCAAAAAAAACGACTATAAGAAGCCTGCCCCAAATTCAACCCTCAATTTATTTTCCTACCACAAAACTCACGTGAAATTCATTTTAAAAAATCTATTCACAGACTCTCGGCCCTGACGAGACGATGAATTTCTTATTTCACACTGAAACCCGTTCACTCACCCCCCATTGACACTCTCCCGCTCACTGTCCCTCAATAAACCCTCAAATCCCCGAAAAAATGCACATTCTCCGATGCCTATGTCCACTGAAACCGCAATCCAACCCTTTTTTACCCAATTCCCGTCCACTAAATATCCCGTTTTTTTTTTCTCTCTTCAACGTTCCTTTGCACTCTGCGACAGGCGCACTGGCACACGCTCATACGTGTGACTGTAGTCTACGGCTCAACCCCCTGAAACCGGCTCAACCGATCCTCTCCCCTTCCCCTCCACCGCCCCTCCCGCCGGCGTGTAAGCATTCACCCTCCCGCCCCCTTCCCCTCTCCCTCGTCGACCCCCACCCCTCGTCTGAATGTTCCACTGTGTCGTTTCGGGCGTTTCCGTGAGTCTGCGTGGAGTCGATCGTTAGACGAACCAACCCCCCATAGCGCATACTCCTATCTCACCCCCTCCCGCCCCTTTAGATCCCCCTCCCCCCTCCCCACCCTCTATTGAAGGGTGAAATGGGGAAAGGGGTGAGAGAGTTTTCCCTCTTTCTCTTTTGATACTCACCCCTTTTATATGAAACGTGTGAGGGGCAGGGGGAGGGGGGGGTTGTTTCACTGCAGGAATCCCCCCCCCCTCCTCTTGGGGAGCCACCCCTTTTGCTCTGTCTGTTTGTCAACGCAAAAGAGCTTTATACTCCTCTCTCCGGCTTGGCTTTGTCTGCCAGAGGCATTGTCAATGGAAAGATATTTTTTAATAATTTTTTTGGGGGTTCTCGGAGGGCGGAGGGGGAGGGGCAGGGGGGATGGGGGTAATGAGCTTAAGATGGCTAATTGAGGTTTGGGGAAGGGGGTGTTAAAGCTCCTTGGGTTCGGGATGGCGGGATAGAGAGAGGTTTGGGGGGAGGAGATGAAGGAGTTGTAAGGGGGAGGGGGATTTTTGGGGTGTTGACGGGGAGGGTTGGTGAGGTAGTTTTTGATTGATTTTTTGGGGGATGAAAAAGGTTCTTCTATAGGTTTTTGGGAAGTAGGGAGGAATAGGGAATTGGGTTTTTTTTTATTGCGAGGGTTCATTAAAGAGGTTGTAGTTGGTGGAGTTGAAAAAATATTCCTGAAGATTTTTGGTAATGGGGGGGAGGGTGATTAGGGGGTTTAGAATTAAAGGGCTGATTAGAACAGTTTTGGGGGATGGATTATTTTTATTTGGTTTTTTATGCAACGTGCGAGAGACAGGGGGGAGGGGGATTCCTGCAGGGAAACAACCCCCGCCCCCTTCTCTTCGGGAGCCCCCTCTTTGGCTCTATCTATTTTTCAACGCAAAAGAGCTTTATACTCCTCTCTCCGGCCTGGCTTTGTCTGCCAGAGGCATTGTCAATGGAAAGATATTTTTTATTAATTTTTTTGGGGGTTTTCGGAGGGCGGAGGGGGAGGGGCAGGGGGGATGGGGGTAATGAGCTTAAGATGGCTAATTGAGGTTTGGGGAAGGGGGTGTTAAAGCTCCTTGGGTTCGGGATGGCGGGATAGAGAGAGGTTTGGGGGGAGGAGATGAAGGAGTTGTAAGGGGGAGGGGGATTTTTGGGGTGTTGACGGGGAGGGTTGGTGAGGTAGTTTTTGATTGATTTTTTGGGGAATGAAAAAGGTTCTTCTAAAGGTTTTTGGGAAGTAGGGAGGAATGGGGAATTGGTTTTTTTTATTGCGGAGGGTTCATTAAAGAGGTTGTAGTTGGTGGGGTTGAAAAAATATTCCTGAAGATTTTTGGTAATGGGGGGGAGGGTGATTAGGGGGTTTAGAACTAAAGGGCTGATTAGAACAGTTTTGGGGGATGGATTATTTTTATTTGGTTTTTTATGCAACGTGCGAGAGACAGGGGGGAGGGGATTCCTGCAGGGAAACAACCCCCGCCCCCTTCTCTTCGGGAGCCCCCTCTTTGGCTCTATCTGTTTTTCAACACAAAAGAGCTTTATACTCCTCTCTCCGGCCTGGTTTTGTCTGCCAGACGCATTGTCAATGGAAAGATATTTTTTAATAATTTTTTTGGGGGGTTTCGGAGGGCGGAGGGGAAGGGGGAATGGACTAATGAGCGTAAGGTGGTTAATTGGGGGATGAAAAAGGTTCTTCTGAAGGTTTTTGGGAAGTAGGGAGGAGCGGGGAATTGTTTTTTTTTGTTGCGGGGGTTTATTGAAGAGGTTGGAGTTGCAGGGGTTGAAAAAATATTTCTGAAGATTTTCGGGAATGGGGGGGGGGGTTAAAGGGTTCAGGATTAAAGGGCTGATTAGAAAGGTTTTGGGAGATCAATTTTTTAAAATTTGGTCTTTTATGCAACGTGTAAGAGGCAAGGGGGAGGGAGCGGCGGTTGTTTCACTGCAGGAATCACCCTCCTCCCTCCTCCTCAGGAGTCCCCCTTTTACTGTCTGTTTGTCAACACAAAAGAGCTTTATGCTCCTCTTTCCGGCCTGGCTTTGTCTGTGAAAGGTATTGTCAATGGATCTTTCCATTGACATTGGATTTTTTAATAATTTGTTAGGGCGGTTTTGAAGGGGGTAGGAGGGGAGGGTTTAAGGAGGTAATTAGCTCAAGATGGTTATTGGGGTTTGGAGAGGGGGGTTTAAGGGGGTAGAAAAGCTCCTTGGGTTGGGGATGGAGGAATGGAGAGAGGTTTGGGAGGGTTTTTTTTTGGTTAGGGAGGGGGGAGATTTTTAGGGAGTTGGAGGGGTTGAAAAAATATTCCTGAAGATTTTTGGAAGTGGGGGAGGAAAGAGGGTGATTAGGGGATTCAAACGGTCTCTTCAGGAAAACATAATTTTTTGGCGAAACTAATTTTTTCTCTCATTGTACGCTAGAGCTTTTTATAAATTCAAGGTGTTTTGCATTATAAGGGACAATATAGTGTAGACCTCGTCGAAAATTTCCATTATAGCAATCGAGATTAATTATTGATAACAATAAAAAAATTGAATTACAAAATGTCCTTCTCCCTCTAAATTTCCCGTTTTCAACGTCTTCAACTAAAAAAAAATTGAGCCCGCAGCTGCAGTCATCACGAACCGATAAAAGGAAAAAAATTCATGAATAATAATTGAAGTAATATTTCTGAAATACGTAATCTCATCATTCACTTCTCTAACAAATTCCAATTCTTCTCAAAGCTCTCATCTCCCCCGCAAAAATAGAAACGAGAATCCATCAATATCAATTTTTCAGAGTCCCTGACACCCCATTTTTCCTCTCCCTCTCGCACTCTGAAAGATAATATTAATCTCCTCCAGATTTGGAAAGACTCGCATTTGCCAATTTGGGTGGCCCATAAATCCAAAAATAATATCGTTTTTACTCATTCGAATACACTTTTACGTTGAATCCTCCCCAATCCCCCTGTCTTCTCCTTCATTTTCTTCTGAGTTTTAAATGTTTCATGCTTATGCCGCCATTTCGAATTTCACATTTACATTTTTATTTCTTGACGCGTTGAAATTGGATTCCAAGACGAAAGAGGGTTAAAGGATGAAAGGGAATGGAATGGAGGCGCGGGAAGGGGAAGAGGGCGTTTAATGTCGAGTGAATGCGTCTTATCTTGGAGATGATAATGGGCTTTAGACTTGTGGGATTCTTATAATGGGTTACGGCCTTTTTCAGCGGACGAGAGCGGGTGGAGATCCCTCCTGGGGTGTTACGTTTGAGAGAGTGGGATTTAATTTACTGGTCCAGAATTGATTTGACTCTGTGGTTTTTGCGGTGAGGATAATTCCCACGAGATTTCGCACTTTGTTCTCAGAGTTTAATTCAAATTAGATTCAATAGTAACAATTGATTGACTGGAGAATTTAAAGATTCATTTCATAAAAATTTTCTAGCAATTTTTTTGTTTTATTTTCACGTTATTAGTTCATTTTAATTTTTTCATTTATTTATTTATGCATTGGATTGGTCGATATCAAGGATATCCCGGGATCTTTTATAGTTTGGTACAGACCACACTGTAGATTCAACCATTTTCAATCATCAAATGCGTCAATTCGTCATTCAAATTACATTTTGCACAGAATTATGATTTTTTTAACATTCGTTGTTTATAAATAAATGACTGAAATTGTTTAAATATTCGGAAAACTTTTTTTAGGCATGAAAACGAGTTCTGAAGAAATTCTGACTATAAATAATTTTTTTACAATTTCGAACCAATGATTTTTACGAGGAAAAATTGATTGTTTATAAATTATTGATAGAAAATGCTCGTTGTTTTCCAAAATTGAAATTTGCAAATTATTTCATCAATCTTCCTCCAAAAGTAAACTCTCTACATTATAAAAATCCCAATCGACTTCTGGTGATAAAAATTTGGTATTCGAAATTAATAGTCTATAATAAAGGGTCACAAGGGTCAAAATGAGGGTCATGAGGGTCAAAATAATGGTCATGAGGTTCAGAAGAAAGGTCATAAGGGTCAGATGAAGGTCACTAGAGTTAAAATAAGGGTCATGAGGTTCGGAATAAGGGTGACAAAGGTCATTAGGGTAAAAATGATGGTCATGAAGTTCAGAAGAAAGGTCATAAGGGTCAAAATAAGGGTTATGAGGGTCAAAATCAGGGCCATGAAGTTCGGAATAAGACTCACGAGGGTCAAAATTGTGGTCACGAGGTTCAAAATAAGAATCATAAGGGTCAAAATAAGGGTCATGAGGGTCAGAATCAGGACCATGAGGTTCAGAATAAGGGTCACAAGGGTCAAAATGATGGTCATGAGGTTCAAAAGAAGAGTCATAAGGGTCAAAATAAGGGTTAATGAAAAAAAATTGTAAAAATTACAAGTTGATAATTATCAATGTAAAATCATGATTGGTTTTAGGAATTATTAAGGGATGCACTTTCTTGATATATTTAGAATTCAAGACGATCAAAACGTTTCTGAAACACTGATTTAATTTTTCTCATGCGCGGATATGCTGAATCATTCATAATTCGCCTGAATTTTCCTCTAATCTCATTTCATCTGAATTATTAAAAAATTCATCGACGCAGATTATAACTCTCATCATTATTGTTTCACGTTTCCATCAGACGTCTATTTCAAAATTTTTTTAGGCCAATTAATAATTCAAAATGCAATTTTAAAGTATTCATAGGGATAATTGATTGATGACCATATCTTTTTTTGAAAGCTTTCATGGCACTCGAATAGAATAAATTTCATTCAAAACCCAAACAAATTC